ATCTCCTGAGGTCCCTTCCAACCCCACCAGTCTGGGATTCTGTCTTACTCTGAAGGAGGTGTTGATTTTTAATACCAGTTGTAATCCAGCATTACAGGGTTAACATTTGGAAGCAGCGTATATATTGAGCTTTGGTTACTAGACAAGTACAAACATCCTCCAGCACTTCTCTGTTCTATCTTCCAACTGAATCCTGTCCCACCCAATCATAATGTCTAATTATTCATTATCCCCCCCTCCAATCTGCATATCCTGTTCCCACATTCCACTCTGCTTTTAACTGCTAAAATCATGTTTCAAAACTCTTACCTCTCTGCTTTACACCCTCCTGGATTTACACCCCTACACACACAGTGACACCTTAAAGCACGAGCTGAACCAACAATCCTGTTTCTAGGCTTGAGCTGCTGCTTATCACTGAAGTCCTTCAGGGGGCCACCCTAGAAGATAAACCATGAAGACCCATCTCACGAGCCTGCCCAAGGTGGATCTGATCTACGTATCTAGTTTATATCTACATCACTGGATGAATTTTTTCACTTTTTTGCATTCTTTGCTGGGTATTTTCCAATTCATTAAGTGGTTTGTAGCTGTGGGAAACTTCAATTACTATAAAACAAAACATAATCGCAAGATAAAGACAGTCAAACCCCAACCTCGTTCCGTAACTGATTTGATCTCACATTTTAAATCCATGATCTCTTTATCAACAGCCACATTTTGCCCTCCAAGTTCTTCCTTTACTTACCCTTCATTAGAATTAGAAGGAAGGTTGAGAAGGACACCAGGACTCCAGCCCCCACCACCTGCATCGTTAGCAGGTAGAGGGCAGGGGAGAAGGTCTGGTCCCTCACCAGAGCCAAAGAGGGAGTAGGCAGAGCAGCCAGAGGTCCCGGATGTCCCCCACAGCACAGCTCCCACCTGCATCCTGCTCCCCCCACCCCTGTTCCACCACCCAGCTGGCAGAGACCACAACCACCACCACCGTTTCTACCACCCCTCTGAGCCACCAGCAGTTCTGGGGCCATACACACCTCCTGTGTCACCACCAGTCTCACCAGTGAGCCATCACTGGGAGCACCTGGTCTGGAGCCAGCGCACACACTGTCCCACACCTTCCAACCCTGCAGTGTGGTGGGACCCACGTCCTGCT